TTGGCCTGCTCTTGAAGACTATCAAAATTCTAAGCAATGTGTTGTTGTTCTCATTTGAGAAGAGTACCTCTACGCAGGTAGATTTCTAAGTGTGTTTCTACTAAGTGGCTCCCCTTTAAACAACCTCATCCACTAATGAGTGTCTTGCAGGCACAGCTTGAGTGAAAATGTAGCTGACACAGGCATTGGGTTCAATAGCACCGCTCAGGGCACCATCAACAAATGGCTCAACAGTCGCTATTAGACGAACACATTGTAAACATCTCTGCAGGAAGAATTAGTGCTTTGCTGATTTAGCTAATGCTGAATAATACATTCTTATTTCATGAATAAAAACAACGGATTGCATTGGCGGATGTTCCACCTAAATGCAATCTTTTGTCGTTGTAACAAACAGAAGCTTCCAGAATCTTAGACCTGCTGGTGTTTTTGTAAGTTGATGTGTTGAGATATTTCGGCACAGAAACAAAGAGACCGAAAGATAAAGATGCTGTGGGTTTGTTCTGCAAAGTATGGACATAGATCAGTGTGTTCAATGAATTGTGAAGGCCAAAAACTGAAAACACTGACCACATCTAGTTTATATTTAATCGGAGAAACCACAATCCCCCCCAGTTGGACACCGGCATGACAGGAGACAAATGATAGAGCAGCAGAGGAGCTCTTAGTTTCTTTTTTCCACATGCCATTTCCAGCTTTTCTTTAGTAATGCTCATACAATTAATCAAGTTAGAACAACCTTTTTTTATTTTCCAGAACAACGGCTCATCACACAACCTGTTCAGTCTTATGTGTTCTGCAAAATTACTTTTCTACTCATTAGTTCTTTGAAGGAACATAAAAGGGTGAGACATGGACATAATGTTTTTCACGTCCATGCAAACACAGTAGTTACTGTATACTTGATATATACGCAGTCAAATAATGAGTATCCCTCTGATGTGTGTCTGCTATTAGAAAATCTTGAAAAACAAACTTAAGGTTACATCCCACAGGTCTTGATCGTGTGTCATATTATTATAAGCCTGCGAAACATGAGCAAGAATGCTTGAAGGTTGCAAACTTGAATTAGACTTGAATCCTTAGTCATGTCCCTGGCTGGAAAGCACACAAAGCCTCTGCTCTGGCAGCTGTCAACCTGCTGGGCTCCAGGCTGACACAGATAGACCACCATTTATATATTTATTACCTATAGTACATATTTCACTACGGTTCAGCTTGGTGTAATGTTGAAATATATAATGATGCGGGTAGTTAACAATTCACTCATTGATATTCAGACTCTGTGATGAAGGTTGTGCTTATTCTCCCATAACATGATTAATCTATAATGTTACCTCAGGCTGTGTATTTGGAAGGGAAAGTCTTGCTTATTCACCTCTGGTGCTGCACACACGTATTGCTATTCCCTGCACAGATCAGCTTGACATGAATGGATTTTCTACTTGTCCGAGATTTATCCTCTTCCACATTTGTGCAGGGGGCTTCATATTTTAACATCCAGCGCCACAATGGCACGGACAGGGCCAACTTCACGGTGACAAACTCTTCAGTCAACTCATGATATTAGTGCCATCTCTTGCTATTCTACCGGCAAACCAACTACTTTATGAAACTTACTTCAACTGCTGCGGTGCTGCTCTGTGCTTTTTTTTATTGGTAATACTAAAAGACATTAACACACTGTGTGCATGCCAGACAACTGCTGCAGTAACAGTCTCATTATGTTGACTTACAGTAGATTTGTCTGTGTGCTGCTGGCTCTGTCCACTTATTTTCATTGACCGCATATATGTTAGATTAAAGCCTAATGAAGCGAATAAACTCACTTATTCTTCAGCACATCACAAGGTATCAAATGTGCAGAGATAAGGCCAAACACAATAAACACAGTAAGTAATTGCCCTTTAATGTGTAAGACCATTAAAATGATTCCTCCTGTTGGAGTCAAAAGCAGATCCCACGTATTTCGTAGCACTAATAGTAATACTAATCAATGAGGACAGAGACCAGCTACTCATGAGCAATGGATGTGTATTTCACTGTGAACAGCAATCACAGCCCCCAACCATGCGTGAAAAAATAATTTAAGATTAATCTGAGAGATTGCTCTCATCAGAAAAAACCCAGGACCCAGAACGATAAGATGCTATTCTTTAGAAACAATTAATCATGCCGTGACCTGCGCTGTAGGCTTTTGATTATAGAGGCGTTTTATTAGGGAGAAAGGAATATAATGTTTATCACAGAATAGGCCATAAGGTCACATTGGTACTTAACTCTTCACGACTACGTTTTTGGGAGCTTTGACTTTTCTGTCATGTGACAGCTCCTCTACATTTAAATTCACTTTTTGGCCTTGTTCCAGAAAAGGAGGAGACAACTCCTGTCTTTCTGTTGCACTTCATTGCTCATGGCCATAAACATTAATGACTCAGGCTTGTGCGATAATGAAATTCCACCTTCGTCACAAAGCGCAGGCGTGACCGACCCACCAATGTCCCGGTGACTGTTTGTGGCACTTTTGAGGTTAACTCATGTTGACACCCATGGAGGTGTATGTATGAGTTGCTCCACAGTTGAAGCTAAAGGAGCAGAACTCTAACAGATGCACTATTTATTAAATTAGTCAAAGGATGTTTTTGGATTAAAAAAAACTGCCGGTATGAAAAAAAAAGCATAATGTATCGAACAAATTGGTGATTATACATTGGCCTACTTTCTATGGAAAGGTATTGCCTCTATTATTTTCAATCTACTTACTAATGCATAGGACTCGCCACAAAACACACGGTGCTGCTCATTCAAATGTCTCATGAATACCTTTTTATATGCAGAGAATAAATATTCGAGGACACACATTATTTTCAACATGCCTCTCTGATATATGGTAATGACTAAGACGGCAAGACTTACACTTACGGAGAAAAAAAAAGCCTTGGCTTGGTCGATCACAGCTCACCTGTAACGCAGATATTTGAGACATTATGTATTTCATATGCTGAAGTTCACCATGAAATACTCACACATTGTATCTACAGTATACAGTTAAAAAACACAATCACATGTATTCTATCTTTTTTATTATTCATCATCCTATATACGTAACTCATTAATGTTATTGGAAAGATTCATTGCAGTTTTAAGTCAGATAAAAAACGTTTTTTATTCTTATAGATGTTGCAAGATTCACAACATGTATTACCCAAGACATGAGAGATAGAGAAATGGCAGATTTGAAATATACAACATTTTGATGATGAAATCTCAACAACACACTGCTTCAATGAAATAACTAAATACATTCTCCTGCTGGGTGTGATGAATTGTTTATGGTATTGTTGAAGAGCTTGTCAGATTACAACCCAAATCTCCAGTTAAATCTTTCTGTTTTGATCTCTTGTAATGAGTCTAGATCGACCTACTGTTTCATGGGAACTGTAATTGGGATCATGACAATAATTTAATCACATCATGTGTTCCTTTCCTTTTATTGTCAACGCTATTGCTCTAAACTCTGATTTATGGCACTGATATGCGGGTTAGCATTATATTGAAACATAAATATCTACTGTTGTGTTTCACTTTTAATGTTATGGGCACAGACAGCTTGTGCTATAAAGGTTTTAAATTGGCCTTGTCATCTTCATATTTACCCTGTTATCTAAATCACACAGAAATGTCAAGAATCGTTCTGAATTGATGGAAACATTTTTGCGTAAACACAGCTGCAGTACACACATATGGCCAGTAGGGGTAGTGTGTGATTGTATAACAACTTTGGAGGCATGGGTGTTTATTCCTCTGCTGCAATGAAAACCATATTATAACCATGATGCAGAACATGGGAGACTTTGACATTAGAGTGATGTGGATTTATCAAGTTTGTCTCTGAAGTAAAGGAGGAATGGTTGCAACAATTTTCCAGTGATGGTTTCTGATATATTCCAATAAATGGGAAGGAAACAAGGTATTAAAACATTGAAGTATCTAGTACACTGTGCTATCGCTGACTATTTGCTCTACAGGTGCCTTTTTCCTTTGACTTGTGCAGCGTAGTGGAGCTGCCCGCTGCCGATGGTGCTGAAAGTTTCTGCTCTGTGCCTCTGACAGACGTAACCAAACAATTAAGAGATATTTCCGTTTTTATTGCAGTCACGAGAAATATCCTTTAATTGTAAGATTATGCCTATCTAGAAACTCCGTCTCTGGCACGACTTCTTCCTCTTCTTCACAGCTCTGCACACGCCTGGTATTGTTCAGATATTTTGAGGAGTGTCTCGTATACCCAACAAGGATGACTGGAACCCTGCAATATGATTCCCCAAACAAAAACAAAAAGCTGTCCTTAAAATGAACCCCCAATGCCAGAATCCGGTGTGAAAACAAAGAGGGCGTACATTTTGCTGAAGCAACAGTCAATGAATCGAATAAGTCATGCAGCTGTTACAAAACATTTAGCTATTGTGTGTGCTTCTCTTCAAAATGCTCCTCCGGTAACTCAGTCCAGCTGTTCCCGGTTCAGTCAGGCGGTGTGGCTTCTGTCACGTCTGTCCCTCATCCATCAGCCCTCGCCGAGGAGCACCGTGTGTAAATCCTTTCCTCTGCCACATCAGCTGCGCTCCGTCGCCACTGAAGTAAACGCTGAAATGTGTCTCTGCCGCGCTGCGCCCTCACATCCTTCTTGAAAAAAACGTCAACTTCTCCAAAGTAAACTGTTTACACCGCCGTCGACTTCCCATCTCTCCAGTCTATATGTTTGCGTTTGCGTTTGAGCTTTTGTCACGCACTTGTTTGTCTATTTCTGCAAAGCATACATAGGCTGATTGACTTTTTTTTTATAACATCAAGTCATGAGTTGAGATATCGGCTCTCCGTGCGTCTTTCTCCGGCTAGTCCAAATCATTTCTACCCGGCTTGTCGGGACAGCAGCGGAGTCGTGAAGTCTCTGCAGTCACGTGATCGAGATAGGACTGAAGAGTGAGTGTGTGCAGGTTTTTTTTCTCTCGGAGTGTGTATGCGAGCCTCTTTCCGTGTGTGGTTAGAGGGGTGTCCCTCCTCCGCATTTGTTGCTGCTTGTCATGCTTTAGACGCCGAAACGCAGGGAGAGAGGCGAGAGTGAGAGAGGTAACGCCGGTCTCTCTCACCGGGCTACCTGTTTTTTTTTCAGTCTTACCTCGCGTCCCCGTTGGTTCTCCCTCGTCTTTTGGAGCCTTGCTTCCTGCAGTCGGGTTGTTTTTGTTGGTCAAAAAAAAGAGAGACAAACTGATCATTCCTGTAGGGGTTCATGCGGGTCTGATCTGCCAGTAGGAGGACCGCAGTTCTGTTTTGAGCTGGGTTTTGAACATCTTTTTTTCCCTTTTTTCTTTGGGTGCTCCATTTGGACAGTATAGGACAGCCGAGCAGAGCTTGGATGATCCGCTTCGCTGAAATCCCGAGATGGAGTTGCTGCTGATCTGCCTTTCCCTGTGGATATTCCAATGCAATTCGGCCGGAGCGGACTCCATCATACATATCGGTAAGCGTCAGGAAAAAACATGCTGTTTGGGTTTGACAGGTGTAAAGGCAAAGCGTGCGGGGATAAAGCTCAGCCAGCGCATACTGCGTTGATCAAAGGATTTTGGTGAGAGGGCGGGATAAATAGTCTATTCAGCTTGCATCCTGTGTTTAAGTAACACTTTGACTCTCAAGCGAGTTGAAAAGTTGGCGTTTTTTAGATGGCCATGCCTCTGACCTTTTACCTTGGCTATTTTTTACATTTTCTTTAATCTAAGTTATTTATTTATCAGCCTTTTTCTGCATATATTTGTTTCACTTATCTACCGCAAATCAATGCATGCAGGCTTAAGATCGTATCCTCACTCTTATCGGCCTGTAAATTGAAATTCAGTTTTTTTAAAAACGGACTACAGCAAGAGGGCCTATAAGCTTTGAGGAAATCAATGTCCAATAGCCAAATGGTTGAGTCTTTTTTAGACCAAGCTACCTCTTGTCTGTATCTGAGAAGCCTCAACTTTCACCGGAACGTGACTGCAATGTCAATTACAAGACCGAGCGAATGTCAGTGGAGTTTCGTTTTAGAAATGCAAAACGCATAGAGCCTCTTTGTTCTCAACTTCAAACCAGAGCTGCCTTTTCCAGAGATGGGGGATGCTTTAATCTCATCATGATGTTGAAATAATTCTGACCTCTGTATCCATACACATCGCATTGCATTACAGTTTCAAAATGCATATGATCTCTTCTCTACCACACACACACACACACACACACACACACACACACACACACACACACACACACACACACACACACACACACACACACACAGTGTAAATTATATTTGTGTCCCCTTTTCACTTTTGTGTCCACTTATAATGACTGGCGTTGTAGTCAAAGATACAAATGTCAATGTCACTGTGAGCACATTTTGTCGCGGTGCTCCTCCGCTGCTGCTGCTGCTGCTGCTGATGTTCACAGTTTACTGCAACAGTCTGGCAAGCAGCAGGTGCTCAGTCACTGGCTTAATACAGAGGTGGGACTCCATCCAGATAATATTGGCAGATGCCCCACATATCGTTCGGGTACCCCAATTATGCTTCTCATTTCCTGAAACCTTTTTCCCTGATATATATGCATCTCCCAATAGCAGCTGATGCCATAAACAGAGGAAAAAAGACGGGAGGGAGGGAGACAGTTGAGTTTCAGTGGGCCGCCCACACTAGGCCTATAATGCTTATTGGGTAAAGTGCCATCGATCTAGTAGACATGACAGGCATTCTTTTCAAAATCTTTCTGCATCAAATAATGAGAGTCTGTGTGATGTGGCCGTGTTGCTCTCCATGGTGCTGAAATCATGTACTGGCTCACTGAGATAAATCCACTAACTATAATGAAATCAGGCATCATGTTTACATGTGTTTGTCCACCAACAGATTATACATTATTTTTAGCTGGGAAGGTCCATAAATCAACTGCTTTCACCTTCAACTTTACCGTGCAATCTAACTTCATCTCCTCGAGATTACTCTCCAAATAACATGGGATTATTTTATTCCACAGGTGCCATATTCGAGGAAAACTCTGCGAGAGATGAGGAGATTTTCCAACTTGCCATCTCAGACCTGAGTCTGAACGATGACATTCTGCAGAGCGAGAAAATCACCCACTCTGTGAAACTTATCGAGCCAAACAACCCCTTTGAGGCCGTGCAGGAAGGTAAGCGCGATTCCCCCACGGATCATTTCTGCTATGAATTGCCCTTGCTATTTGATTTGATTGCTTAGGGGCTGCAGGGCACGTTAGGAAGGCGGTCTCTCGTCACTTCTAGTTACGATCAGGAAAGAATTCCCTTGTATCAAAGTCTTGACTGCCTTGATCTTGCAGGTTTTGTTTTTAAAGCCATGAGTTTATGTTTTTCATTACGCGTGTTTATCAGGCATTGTGTTCCCTTGGGAAGCAGTCATGGATGAAAAAACGTGTGTGTGTGTGTGTGTGTGTGGCCATCTGCAAAGTGCTGTGCCACTATACTAACGCAAGGTGTCTTCTGTGGTCGAAAGCTAGGTGGAAGCATTGAGTTAGAGCACAGCAGCTTAGAATAATATGTTGTGTGAAATGAAAATCATTTGAAGTTGATCAAATGTCATTCCAACACCAATAATCCACTTGAGTAATCACACAAGACAAAACGAATATTTCTAGCTTTTATATCCCTTTGAAGGTTGAGTCTGCAATCCCGTCCATGCACATTTATCACCCCTTCAGCTGTTTATACTCAAAATGTTTGTCTGCATCATTTGGATTCCCCGTAAGCAGCCAAGAAACACACCTCCACAAATCAGACAGGATTAGCAATGAAATGATTTTGATCAAGGTTATCTCTCTGTCATTGAAAGGTGGTCCATTAGTTGACTGCAACAGTGATTACAAATTCTTCCAGTAAAATGAATCATTACGACTTTAATAGATTTGATGGGACCTTCAAATGATGTGTATGTCCGCTGCACTTAGTAACCAGCCTGTACTTTTGTCCCTAGTTGCACAAAGGCCTTGATGAGTCATTGCTATTCATAGTGCCCCTGACAGGCAGAGGAGCATGATAATATGTCCTGCCTTTTGCTTAAATTATCCCATGCCATTTAGCAGTTATCCAGAAAAACATCACACATTTTTAATCTTCAAATTCACATGACTTAAAACTTGATGAGGTCCACATGGAACAGAGTGGTATAAACCTTAACTATACACAGGAGATATTCCTGGTTGCTGCTTCAGATAACGATTAAAGGGGCCATATTCTGCCCATGTTCAGGTTCATATGTGTATTGTGAGCTTCTACTGTGACATGTTTACATGCTTTAATGTTCAAAAAGCTCTTTATTTTTCTCATACTGCCTGTGCTGCAGCACCTCTTTCCCCCCTCTGTCTGAAACCAGAGCCCAGTCTGCTCTGATTGGTAAGCTGGCCAGGTCTCTGTAGTGATTGGTCAACCGCATAACGTACAATGTGTTGGAGCGCTAGCCAATAGATCCACGAGTGTTACATAGTGATTTTACTGAAGTAAACTAATAACTACAATCAAGGTGTGCATAACACACTACAGGAAAGAGAAACCCCCAACAAGTACAATAGGGTCCCTTTAAGAATATGACACACTTGCAATTTTACCAGTTTCTGCTTGAGATGGGATAGTAATTGCAAGACTTGCCAGCAAATAATGTGTTCATTGCTCTGATTATTTTAGTAGTGCAGTCTAAGAGAGCGTACACACTGAACTCTGCGTTCTAATTATCTTAAAGTTATTTTCCATTGACAATCCTCTCGATAATATTATAGCACATTGTTGAACCTGTACAAAAGCCTAAGGACTAACAGGTTGTGGATGATGCTGTAAGGAAACAAAAAAACACTAAACACATTAATGGCATTCGTAGCTGCAGAGCTTGTTAATGCTCAGTGAAAATTATTCAGAGCTTATTTCCTCTGCGCGAATTGCCTTTTGTTGGTGATAGGGTATCATTTACCATGCTTAATTACTGTTTACGGTTAGGCTCCGGATAATCAAATATTCACATAAGTAGGTGATTACGTGGCATTCACTTTCTGGAGTAATGTGAAGTTGCTGACGTGAGGATCAATAGGTGGCCCCGGACTCTTGCACTAGACACACACAGGGTGGTGAGTGTTGAGTGACAACTTGGATAAGTTGACCTTTTGCTTTGCTCTTTTGTTCGCTGCCATCCCACTGTGAGTGGCAGTCAGGACCTTGCCATCGCATGGAGAACAAGGAGGGGAGGGTGGGCATAAACAGGGGCGGCGGGGGGGGGAGCTGAGTGAGGCTGAGAATAATGATGAGATGATAGAGTCGGAAAATATAGTGGCAGTAGAAAGGGAGGGAGATTATGGGTGAGAAGAGCAATGAAGATAAAAAATACCCATGAGTACCAGCAAGGGCGGTGAAACAGAAAAAGAGAGAAGGGAATTATGATCAAGACCTGAATAAACATGAGTGGACAAAAGAAGAGTTAAGATAGGGGTGAGGTGATGAGGAAAATTTGCAAGCACACTGAATGGAATAGTTGCAGCCTCATTTTAGTTTGTCCTCATTCGGCCTCTTGTGTCCTTGCACGAGAGGAACATATATTAACGGGACACCATTCACACAGATACAGCCAGCTATTCAGTCCTCCCACACTCTTATCATTCAAAGATGAAAGCTCAAGGCGGGCTGGACATACTGCTTGACCACACAACAGGCAGAAGCTGTCCTATTTATAAGCTGGAGCAACTGGAGAGGATGAATAGGGCGATTTCAACACCGCAAGCGCCAACTCCGAAGATTATCTTGTTTTTTCTTGTAGCTTATCTGACAAATGACTGTGTATAGATCCCATCATCTTGCAGAAAAACAAACATGTGGCTGGTACAACAGTTCCCTTCTTATCTTCTACATCCACCCTTCAGTTCTTGTTATTTTATAGAGATCAAGATAAGGCAATGGGATGACAAAAAACGTGATTTGAAATTACACACATTTGCCTGGAAGGGCAAATTGTGAAGACTCCCATAAAGTCGATATGCACGATATAATTGCATGTACTGCCATTCTGATCAATTTAACATTAATGCCTCTTATCTGGTAACAGCCAGTCATCACTCTGGAAAGCTTGTCTGGGTCTGTTAACATTATTCATTAATATCCTGAGAAAAATGTAGTTTCATGGAATACCCACAGCCTATTAGGGCATCAACTTTACATCCCACAACTCTGAATGTCTTAAGAATATAACGTCTGAGGACAGTCCTTTCTGGAATCAGGCTGTGACAAAAAATAGATGGAAGACTTATAAATGTTTACTGGTTTCTCACACATCTTCAAATTTGTCAACCCAGGTTTTCTTCCCACCTTGATTCAAAAAAAGGTTTGTCCTGTAGACGAGATAAGCATTCAAAAGAAACACAGCTTTAATAACCTTTTTGTCTTGAGTTGTATTCAAATGAAGTGGCAGAAAGGGGACAGCAAAGCCCCCAACCATGTTGTGTGATTATGTAAATCTGAAATGATGCATATTTCAAGAAAAGTTTAATTTGTGAGGTGGATTTTTTTAATTTGTTTTTTTGGCATAGTTGCTTTGAGGATGTGAGATCTCCATTTTCACATGCGTTTGGAAGTGAAAGGATTCCCCCACCAGCACTGATGTATTTCATCTCTCAGAGCAGGTGGGAAAAAGGATTGTGATGGCACATGTTGTTTGTGCAACATTTGGGATTTTCCACGCATCAAAGCATTTAGAGGATTTACAAAAAAAGAAAATACTTTATAAAAATACATTCTAACACACAATAGGACAGCTTACAGAGAGGCACACACGCAAATCACCATTCCTGCTGCGGGTGCGTGTTTAGTCCATATAGCCATGTTTGCACCTCTGTTAGTCTAGCTTGTTAGCACGCTGGCGTTTACGAATAAGCACTAAGAATGGCAAAGACCGAGGGCAATTTCATTATCTGATCATTAAGGCTTTGGACCATCTTAAATCTTTATCTATTTTAATCAGAAACCAAAGAGGTCAACCTGCTCGTGGCACCAGATGAACAGTTAAGGGATCACCAAATCAATAGGATTCATTCTCTACGTATTAGGAATGCCTAAACTACATTGCATCCAGAAGTTATTGAGACATTTCAGTCTGACCAATTAAAGGTGGGGTAGGTAATTTTGGAGAAACCAGCTCGAGTGCGCTAGAATTTGAAAATACACAACCCGAAAAAATCTGCCACTTCCTTACAGAGCCCCTCCTCCAACACACACGAACGCGCACATGACCAATGAGGGCACGAGATAAGTTTGTGCACAGATGGAAGGCTGACAGGCAGGTAGGCCATCCAGTTATTTTAGCCGGGCAGGCTCAGATGATTGGTCGTGCTTTTTACAGTACCACGGCTTCCAGAGATGACATTTTTTTATGGATTTTTTGTCAAAGCACTTAAGATATTCATTGCTATCGGGATGTTAAGAGCATTCCATGGAATATAACAAAAAGTGTATCTCGAGCCGGTTTCTCAAACTTACCTACCCCACCTTTAACTGGAGAGGCAAACATAGAGCAACATAATGAAAACTGCTATATTACAGAAAAGATCTTTCCCAAGTTCGAAACTTACCAACATGGATTTGTTTGACCTGCATTAAACATAGAGTTTACAGTTTCTGCATTTTGACATTCAATCGATTTTGGAGCACCTTTTTCAGCATTGTTTTCAAAATCCTTCTTCAACCCTTAGCCCCGCAGGTTCCTGATTCATTTTTAAATATACATTTAGAGTGAAGCAGGTAGAAAACATAGCCGTCTGGCGACAGTTAGTGGAAGTAGTTTCCTGCCTCTCTGATGTGCAGTAATCTGTTGAGTGTTCTCTCAGAGTCCTCTTCACACACCACACCACTAGTGACCCTCCCTTTTCATCTAACCCCAGCCAAGGTAATGTCAAGGAGGATTTAGTTATTTACTCCTACTGTCCCTGTAAGGCAATATACTTTGAAGGGAGCTGGCAGTGCCTTTTTTATTCTTCTTTTTAGCTCAATCTCTAATGACAAAAGTTGAAATAATGGTTCTTTTGAAAGAGTTGGCATGGGTAATGTAATATCCTCCATCTGATTCTCTGCTTATGACAACTCATTACTCGACTTGCTCTAAACCTGATGGAATGCTGCCCTTTCA